TCGATCCAGCAGCCATCTATCCCTCGAAATCCAATTAACCAGGTGGCGGACGATTAACAGTATCACTCGATCGAAACTGCGCTCAATTCACGTTTACAAAGCACGCTCTTGATTCGAATTCGCCAGGTAACGCGCCGCGTTTTATCCGTGGCCTTTTAATTAAACCACCCCTCCTCCTCCCTCCCCACGATAGGAAGGGGGGGAACGAGCCTTCCGTCTGAAATCCAGAGTCACATCATCGAAACGGCGCGTTCTCGAGGATTATAGAGCTTAATCGTTTCGCATCATTGGAAAAGGAATGTCGGGATCGTTTTCCTTTTGCGCGAGAATTCTTATCGGAATTCGATATTGCGGAAGGGCGTTTGACTGCGTGTGCAGGTGGATATAGATGGGAAACGGGGCCATGGAACGTAGCCAGAAAAAAGGGAAACGAATTCGAATCGAACCGTTTCGTTCCATCTTGCTCTCCCCTCGTTAGAAAATGCAATTTATCGTAAGTAGCGTTTCTTTTCTTTTCTTTTTTGTTTACCACCCCCTGTTTCGTACTCTCGTTACGAAGAATTGAATAGAGGATTCGTTGTTTTAAGAGGAGAAGATTATTTCGATCATCTCTTATCCGATTTTCTGTCACCCTTATCCTTTCATACGATAATCGTAATTTTGTAATCTTTGTAATCCATCCTCTTTCGCAATTCTGTGTGTGAAATTAATTCTAAAAATTCTGTTTGGAGATGTTTGAATCTTTGAATTTATCGTGTTTGATTGTGGACTGGATATATGGTCATGTGTTAAATAAATTGTAAAATAGTTATTATAATACGAATTTTAAATATAAAGATTGTACTCCGTTTAAATAATAAAAATTATAAATGATTTGACGATGAAAGGATTAAGGTTGAATATGTTGTAAAGTATATAATAATTGAATGAGAATTTGAATATTTTATTTTGTTTGATTAATATTACTTATTTTAAGTATTGTTAAGATTTTTGATGATGAAAGGATTAAAGATGAATGTAATGATTATACAGTTAAAGAATCGTAGCATATTTAATTTTACTATCCGAGTAGAGATTTTATTTATTTATTTCTTTATTTTCTTTTTTCGTTAAATAAATGTAACAACCTAGCCTTACGTACTTAATTTTTTATAATATAAAATAGAATAGTTATATAGTTATATCAGTATATGTTCTGGCAATATCATAAAGAAGGATTTATTGTGACGTTAAATTTGATAATTCGTTCGTCAATGCGTTTTGGAATTCAATATCTACCAGTTGTCCCGGAATTACCTATTAGATTAGCATAATGCTATTTTATTGAGCATCGCCAGGATTAAACTTTCATTATCCGGACTGTTTAGCAAATGAACCACGCAAGTATCGATAAATACCTTAAATATAAACAAAATAAATTGTCTCTATCCCAACGCTTACAATTCGTATTTGTAATCCGAAACGTAACACGAATCCGATAAAATGATTCTAATAATCATAAAATAACAAATCCAAATCTTATCGATCTGTTATTGTAAAGTGAATGCGTGCCTCTTAATGAAAAAATAATAGGATATATCATACTCTTTCTTTAAATTCAATTTCTAATTATCTATAAAATAAATTTCAAAATTATTTCTCTTATATTTCTTATTGTCATTGATGTAATTAATACAAAATAATGAATTAAAGGAAGAAATATTTTCACTAATTTTATATAAAACATGAAGAAAGAGGAAAACACAGTCTAGGATATACTCTTGCTTTGTATGCTTTGATATGTATCCTCACCCTTTACTCGCTATTGTAAGCTGGATAAATCATTTATAATGTAAACATGTATTTTGCAATTTGTGAACTAAAACGTGTATTTTTCTTTTCTTTCTTATTGATCTATTGCTCTTGCTTCATGCAATTTTCTATGTGCATATATATATACACGTACTTTTATTTATATTTTCGATCACTTAAAACTTTTCCTTTATACATCTTTTTTAAAATTAAAGCAATAAAAATCATTTTTAATGTATAATTCCAAATATAATCCAGTATATTTATGCACATATATTTTATATTTTTATGAATATAAATGTAATAAGAGGATTTATACATTTATAGGAAATTTAAATGTACAAAATGTATATATCAAAAAATACAAAATATTTTCCATCAAATTCCATTTCTCTAACTATATTCATAAAACTCTTAATCTCTGCATAAATATTCTAGTAATTAAAAAAAAACAAAAATCGAGGAGTAGAGATTTAATTCAATTTTGTTTTGGATATTTTTTATTTTGTATTTTTAATATATCCATTATTTCCTTTAGTATAAGTAAAATAAAAGTATAGCTTACAAATGCATAAATATATCCACAATCTCGAAATGACTACAATGTTTCATCCAATTGTTAGAACACAATTCACAGATATAATTTTTTCTGTCACGATAAATACGTTACACAATTCCTTACACTGTCGTCTCTCTCTCTCTCTCTCTCCCCCCTGTACCCAGAAACATCTCTCAGACGTTGCCCTCGTGGCCCTCTCCATTACCGGAGCCGCGTAGCATTTTGCTGGCATTTACCAAATTAAGAAGGGAGGCACACAAAAGAAAACGTCAGTGAATAGCCGACAGGATAGTAAAGCAGGGGGGAAGAAAAGGTTGGAACCGAATCAAGAAATAATACTTGCGTAGTAATGATGCAACGTTCCCCGTCAAAACCTCTCTATCCACTGCCGAGAAAACAACCCTCTGCTCCACCCTCTCCACGATGACCTTCATTGTAAAGGAGAAACGACAGCTCACTACAAGAATATTAGATTACCACCCTAATGGGAGGGGATATTTGCAAGACATTTTTATTTTGCTATTTAAATTGGTGACGAGATTATGGCTGAACCAATAATAGATTTTTTTTCAAACACGTAATTTTATAATGATATTGTAATTGTTTTATTTTAATATTTTCTTTTCATTTCTTTGATCAGAATGATATAATATAATAAGAATACACAATATAATATAATAAGAAGTTTAATTACAGTGGTAACAGAGAGTGAAGATTAATACAATATTTGATTAATGATATAATGTAATGCATTATTAAAAATAATACTTATAAAGCTCGAAGGATTAATCAAATAATGAAATCTCGTTGAATTAATCAATAGAGCCGGTGTATCAAGGGGCATTTGGAAAAACAATATCTCGATTACACGTGTCGCTTATATATATATATATATATTTTTTCATTCTCTCGATTGTCAGGATTAATCGTTCTTTAAAAAGTTGCAAAGGAATTTAATTCGCTCCTTCGTCTCTCGTCCCATCGTTTCTATCGTGCCCCGAAGGTTTCAGTAAATTATCTTTCTGCAAATTGAAACGTTTAGCAAACGAAACCTGGTCATCCCCTTCGTGTACAGAGGAACGATTCAATACATAAACGCGGATATATATATATATATGTATGTATCATTTCAGTGCTCGAGCTAAGAGTGCATGCAAATATAACTGGTCTGATTAGCAGTGCACGTGGGTGGAACTTATGCAAATATATCATAGCAACGATACACGAAAGAAATAATTGATTAATATTTGTTTAAACAGAAATGTCTTGGTGTTTTCGATCGACCGAATTTTTCTCTATGATTGACGTGTTAATTAAAGAATAATAATAAGAATTAGACATAGGAGAAATTACGTTAGTGATGATAAAAATCTATCGATAAAAGATTGATTTATCCAATCCTTTTTATTTTACAATGAGAAATTAAAATTAACTTATATCTATCTTTCGTTTATTATTCATTCTTTCAATTTTTCAAAAATCAATTTTACTCTTACTTTATTTATTCTCAAATCGTAAATTAAAAAAATTCGATTCTAGATATATATCATTCTTTATGAGATCCTTATAATTATTCTTCTTTAATATAATTAATTCACTCTTTACGATTAATTCAAAAGATTTCGTGGCATTAATTTTTATAATACTTTGTAATTTTTTTTTTACCACTTCATTTCAGTTAATTTTTTAATGAGAATAATATTAAAATTAATTAATCAAAACGAAACACGTTCGCTCGGCAAAAATTTTACAAAAAAAAAAATCATCATACAAAAAAACCAAAAATTTGAAGTATCTCCTCACAAAAAAAAATATATATATATATACAAAAAAGACGAGCGCAATACGGGGACACGTATTTCATCCAGACAAAAATTTTTACACGATCGCAAACAACAGCCTACTTTTTCCTACCGAAAACGAGCAAACTTTGGATGAAAATAATCTAAAACAGGACACAGCCCACCCCTTCTATTATCCCTAACTCGCACAGAGAGACAGTTCGAGCTCACGAAACATTTCACGCGTGACCCAGTTACCCCCTCGAACGTAACGTTACTTTTCATTTCAATCCAGGGATAAATAACAACGAAATCGTTCCGACCATACGTTTCCGTATAAGGCCACGAGTAAAAATCGATCCTTGTCCCGATGAAATAAGAAATAAAATATAACACATATAAAAGGAAATAGGGCGGAATGATAACGGAATGATAATTCGTCTGCAATCAGCGGGGACGTAATTATTATCATCGCGAATCTCTGCGATATCACAGCCCCTCTGTAACACACAGTGTATTTCAAAACACGGATTATCCGATCGTTCGACGTCACACCGAGAAATTTAATCAATCGACACCCTTCCACCAACCTCCCTCTCTCCCTCTCTCTCTCTCTCTCTCTCTCTCTCTCGCCGCGCACCGTGTAGAATTTTAATCACGAGAATCATAAAAATCCGTTTCACGTGGCACGTACACACTTCGTTCCACGAGTTTCCGCTTCCGCCCCCTCTTTGATGAAGCGCAACTTTTTATCGCGAGGATTTTCATCGCGCGACATTTTATTATGTGAGAGAAGTAGAGGAAGGGAAAGAAGAAAGAGAGAGAGAGAGAGAAGAAAAGACGAATAAGAACGAATGAATGATACTTACATCGCGCCAACGTATAGGGCGTCCCTCTTGCTGTCCAGGTACAGGGTCCTGTAATACAGCATCCCGCAGCTGAACTCCCTCACGTGTTCTGCAAGCAAAAGTAAACAATGGGATTAATCGGAGAAAGGGGGGAAGGGGAATTCATTTCTCTTGCTTGACGTGGATCGTTAGATTTTCATTATGACTTTTATAATAACGGGTGAGGCCGTTTTGTGGTTCGGGGAACACAAGGGGTTCGTTCTCTGAGCTCTGTCTCGCCGTCTCCTTTTCCGGGCAATGCCAACAGGCGACTTATATCGCCGTCGTAAAACTCGTTAGAATTACGGGACACGTAACAACACATGGGTGGCGTTTTTATTACAAGTAAACGGGGACCGTATGAGCATCGACATGCCACGAATGGATCTCATTGGCCAGGAGATATCAAAAATTACGTTCATTAGGATTATTGATCGATGATTTATTATATTAGGGAGATTATTATTTAATCTGAAAATTCGTATGTTTTATTGATGAATCGAAAAATTTTTTTTATTGGTAAGATTCTTGGTGAGATATTTTCTTGGTGATTTAATTTCGTACATTTATGTTTCGAAAATATATAATGTTGTAACATGACAAGTTTAGTTATTTTTACGATTTATAAGATATTTTCCTTTATTTTTCTCGAAATAAATAAAGTTGGAAAGCGTAGAAGACAAGTATCGCAAAACACGTTAATAATTAAAAAATGTTAGACATAAATGTATCTTCCTTTCTTAAATAAATAAATAAAACTAGGGGACGAAGAGGGAGCATCGCATTTTGATTTATAACAGCAAGAACCGAGAGAGAGAGACTTATTCTTCTCTTACCTCGCTTCAAAGAGCAATGTTACTCGGGCTCTCCCTATTCCGTACCCGTGATCGTAAAATCAAGACAGCATTAATTCACGAGCAGTGTCGTGTTCGCGCGAATATGCACAGCAAACTAAAAATTTCACAGGAATCCAAAAGGATCGAAATCGTTTCGACCGTAAACACATCTCGATTCGATATTTAAACCGCGTTTAAATATTGAACTAATTCTCGACCGATGTAAATACGTCGGGGAAAAGAAGAAAAAAATGTCCCCTTTTCTTGAAACCAAGAATAGATCTCGAGACGAATAATAAATCGTGAGAGAAATCGCAGCCACGATTCAACCACGCGGAAAGCTTCGAATTATACGATGCTGAAAAATTGGATTCATCACTTTCCTCTCCCGCCTTTTTATAAAGAAAAATACCTGTAAGATTGGGCGGGAGTGCACGGCCATTTTTCACAACATTAAGTCAAGCCGGCAATCATTTAGGAGCTGCGCGCAGCGCGCGATTCCAAGAGGGAAGGAGGGGAAACAGAAGTCGAGGGGAGGGAGTCGTTCGCGCCATCCACTCTCCCTCTCCTCCTTCTCAACACCCTTTTCAACCCTCTATCACGTAGCCAGACACTGATCTGCTTAACATATGAAAGAGAGCCGCCCTTTCCTAAATATACTCGTTCTCCACTCTGGGCTAACAGAGAGCGAACAATACTATATTTTATGCGGTATCAGAAGGGGGCTGACGTCGAGCGAAAAGGGGTCCAACTGTCGTTCGTTGTTGTGCACAGACCACCGCGCCGGCTCTCATCTTTCTTCCGCGTGTTTACATCGACTCTCGCGAGAGAATGAACGAGAGAAAAACCCGATCTCTCTCTTTATCTATCTCCCTCGACGAAATACGACGCGTAACGACTAATACGAGATCTCCGGTTAACACGAGGCTAACTCGAATCGATGTCCATTTGTGGTCACAATGGTAACAATGGCACTTTTATTACGAGAGTAATAGGTCGCGTTATCGCGTGTCCACCACTTGGTCGATTACGATTTTTAATTCGAATCGTGAACATTCGGTTGTCACGGGGATTTGAGAGTAAATATTGGAAATTGTACGGTTTCGAATGTTTTCATATTCGGATATTGATCGTATATCGATCGTATTATGACGAGAAAAAATATAAAATTAAATCGATGATTAAAATGCATCGAACGAAAATTACTAGTACTCTAAAGATCCTTCAAGTTGAATCTATTAAAATTCATCAATATATCACATCAAAAGCCGATGCTCGATAGTCCATACATATAATAACAGTAATAAAACAACCGCGCTTATAAAATTCTGCAAAAAAAAGGAACACGATTCGAATGATTCGATGCAACGTTATTTGCAGTCTACATTTCGAAACGCAACATTCGAACCAGCCCAGTTCGTTAGATCTGGATAAACCGCGTGGGCCAGGAGCAGACTGTCCCCCAGGGAAGACTGAAAATTTATATTCTCTCGCAAATACGGCGGTTCGTTTTTCCGGCTCGTCAGCGCGGCCCGGCGCGTTCGTCGCGCGCATTATTCTGATTTTATTGCCGCAATAAAATCGTATCGCCTCGCCTGTGGTGCACGGAAGATGATGGCTGCACCTGCACCTCGTTCGATCAGTTGACATAACTGGCCAAGTTCGTTCGTTCGTTCGTGTGCTTACTATTTTCGGCGCGACCGTAAAATCCGTATAATCGGTGATCTTCTGCGGTTGTCGGCAAAACTTTTCGTCGAGTTTGTCGAAGTTTAGGTACGTGTCGTGGGTAATTGCGGTTCACTCGGAACGGGTACGTACATCGCTGTGGAAAATTAATTTTGCTCGCGCGGTGGATGGATAAGGAGAGGAGTCATGGCGGGGGACATCTATTTCCCCCGCCATGTTCTCTCATTCAAAAACTTTATGGACTTTATGGTCGAATGGAAAGCAGCAGAAGTGAAAAATCCGAGTATTTCGTGTACTCCATGATTATTAAAAATGTGATTATTGTAGTTGTGATAGTTTGTGTGATTTTAATTTCATTTTTGATTTTCTCAGAGTATTGGATGGAAATATTTGAACATTTTCGAGTCGAGGAATGTATAAGTTACTTTTGCATTATTGGCTTCATCGTTATTATCCAATGTAATTTTAATATTTTCATAATATATGTTTTTTTATAGAAACTTTATTTTGTAAATTATATAGTCTTTGTTAAATAGAGTTTCTATGCTTCTCTGAAATTTATTTAACAATGAAATTATTTTGAAAGTTTTCATTTAAATATAATCTATAATGTATGATATATGAGATAGGAAATAGTATTTGTTCTTCGAGGATAAAATATTCTTTTCAAAAAATTGTATTATATCGTATATGTACACTTTGTTAAAATCGGCAATTTATATTTGTAGACGATCTTTTAGAAGTTAAATATGATTCGTCAAAATAATTGTTAATCGTGTCTCTTTCTCTCTCTTGAATCTTTCGTTGTTTGCGTATTTATCGAGACAATAATGCATTAAAGTGGCAAATCATTAAATCACTAATTGCCAAATATTTGTGAACGCCTTTGCTTGTTGAAATTTCTATGACTATTTAGTAGGTTAATTCACTGAATATCTCTAATCATGCAATTATAATCCAAATTCAAAGCTTTAATGATTCTGCTGTTCATTGTATACAAATCTTTCAATTAACACGGTGTACAAATTGAAACAAAGCTATATTATATAGATATAGTGACAATTCAGAGAAAAATTAAAAAGAAAAAGAAAAAAAAGAAAGAAAAATATTTCTTTAATAAAAAAATTCGTGGAAAATATTATTTCAAATAATTGAAATCAAAACGAGAACCTAAAATAAATGTTCGAAATTTTACCTATTTTTTATTTATGAAAACTATGAATTTATGAAAAAAATAAAATGAAAAATAACAACTGAACAATTCCAATCATAAAATTCACAATTTTATAATTCAAATAGATGCAATTTTTCTACAGTAATTTTTGATGAAATTGTTATAAAAAATTCAAACCTAACTACTTTAATTATTCACAGCTATTGATTTATTCCTAATAAAAATCATCACTCAAGAATATAAACAAAGTTATTAAAATATTCGTTTGCTGTTTTCTCTTTTCTTTCACTCGTTCCATCCTACTTTAAGATACCAACCATTACATTTTCCAAAACGTTCATCTTCCATAAACGACAAGGGTAATTCTTTTCCTCCTCCTTTTAAATTCTCATTAATTTAATTCTCCAAGTCGTTGTTGACGATATTTCCTTTTTAACCTCTTCCCAAAAAATAACGGACCTCCACGGCCATCCATCCATATTACCATTGCCTACAATTCCCCATTAAAAACACCGTGGACGCGATTATTCACTGTAAATTGCCTTCGAACCAGTCGAAAAAGTGCCTTTAGATATCAGGATAACATAGTTCCTCCTCCTGGGTTGTTAACGCGGGGAGATAACGCTAAACGAGGCCGGGGACCGGAAGCTATCCATTTGAATTCGGTGGTTCCGGCACCGGGTTAATTCGCTTAAGCTGTATTTCTCAATTAACCGAGTCGATACCGAGTCTTCCATCCCCTACGTTTTTCCCTACACTTCTCTCCTCCCTGCTCATTCGACCGACTCGAAAGAAAGCCTGCTCGAGGCTCGTGTTAACCACGACAAACGAGATGGTATCGTTGGAACAACGGCAATTCATCCCTCCTCGACCTCGAAACGTCGACTCGTGTAATTTTTTATCATTACTCGATCCGTTTGGACATTCGTTACGTTCGTTGCGTACAAGAGTTCGCGTGGCGAGGGATGATAGATGCTTCTAACGAATTGTTTCCCGACTCAGTGTTTCTCAACAACTACCCTCGACGCGAAAATTTTACGAGAGATTTTATTATAAGCGTAGAAATATTTATTAAGTGTTAATGTTAATTAGGAACAACATGATATTTTATATTATCGAATATATTATTCGATTTGCCATCCCTTTCGAAAAGTCTTTTTACGATATCCTTTTTGTAGAGTTCTAATATTAATACATTAAAATACTATTAAAATTTTCCCTCGATAAATTCTTTAGATTTTTGAAAAAGTTCAAAATAGTCGGGATTCATTCGAACGAAAATTTAACCGGTTGAAAAAGAAAGAAAAGAGGAGGGGGGGAAAAAAAAAAGAAGAGCGTCGAATGCAGAAGCATTCATATCCGAATGATTTCGCG